TAAATAAGAACAAGATTTGAATATTAGTAGATAAGCTAAAAGACATAAAAGTTTTTGGTAAAAAAGGATTTTTTCAAAGAAGAACAAAAATAAATTTAGAGCTAGATAAGTAGTAAGAAGTTTTTAACCAAAAGAAATCATTGACAATATCCATTAACCTGTAGCAAATATGCAAACTTTAAAAATTTTGTTATCTAATTGTTATCATGAAAGTTTGAGTATTAATCAGACTGATATTAAAACTGCATTTTCAAATAGTAAAGTTACTTTTTTTGTAAATAGTTTGCTGCAAAAAACAAAAGACTATTGATACGAGTAAGAAAAAAGTTTGATTGTCTAACAATATTATACTTAAATTATGTATTAAGGAGTTTTGGGAGTAACATTCAGAGAGGCGAGAAACGGGGAGTCTTTCCTGCCCGCGCAGCTGGAACCCCTTTACCGCGTAACACCTCTTGCACTCTACAAACTTAAAACTGTATGACTGTAATTGATTATATTTTTGAATAGTGCCTGGCAAGGCTTGATTTTTTTTGTCGAGCATGTTCCTTTTATACCAAGGTATCTATGACAATGTTTTTTTTTCGTTCTAACACATTTACAACTTACCTTTATTTCAATTAAAAGGTAAACCTAACTTTTGCTCTCTCATGAGACCGTGTTAAACTGTCAATATGTTATAATTTTTTTCTCGAAAATTTCCCCTGGTAAAAAACCTGAAAAACTCATGTGCACTCCTAATATGCTCAAATGTGATGTACGTTTTTTTGGCACGTTTCTCTACTTCAAACTTCTCTCCCAAACCTGCTTAAAAAAGGTTTTATAAGTAGGAACATAATTCTGAAACGATAAGTACAATGTACAAAATCTACGATGTACATTTTAGTCTTAAAATCTTTTTATCCACATAGTAATTTACTAATAGATAGCCAAACTAAGGTTTCTACCGTTAAATCTCACAGTTAAGAATAAAAAGAATAAAGAAGCAAGTATCATATAATTTATGGTTAAAATAGTGATATTTATTTTCCTGAACGCATGCTCTACAAATTTGTCTCCATACATTTCTTATTAGCTGTGAATTTTTGTAAATTCTATTACTAATTAGATTTTGTCAGCAAACAATGTATTGTTACATATTTCATCACAAATTATTAAATACTAGCAACCCGCCGTCTCGGCTTCACCAGAGACTTACTAAATAAAACACCGTAGTGTGTTGACATGCAATGTAAAACATTTTCAGTTAGAAATTTTACACATATTGCTGATGCATCTCAGAACAAAAGTCTTATTATAAAAAGCTATTTTTTTGGAATCCATATAGTTTATTTGGTCAAATAATAAAGTGTAAAAATTCAAAAAAATAATTATGCTGAAAAGTACCGTGCGTTCGTTATGCCATAAAATAATCGGTGGCCATAAGAAGCCGTTGCTTTACAGTTTTTCCCGTGTACTTCACAAAAAGGCAATTTTTTAAAGCTGTTAAGNTACCGTGCGTTCGTTATGCCATAAAATAATCGGTGGCCATAAGAAGCCGTTGCTTTACAGTTTTTCCCGTGTACTTCACAAAAAGGCAATTTTTTAAAGCTGTTAAAGATTTTAAGCCCCCAAAAAATTTATATCAAAAAAAATTTTTTTTCTCATATCTCACAACTTTATTACCAGAGCAACAAAGCCCTGGACCTTAAACCCTACATTTTTATTGCCACAAAAACACGATTACATTTTCTACTCATTTAAAAATCTGAAGTAGGATCTTTAAAGATTTCATAGATTGCTGTGAGGGTACAATAAAAAGCTGATCTCTCACGTAATGGACTCTTTAGTTGTCGATTTTGACGCTGCTGTTTCAATCTCGATAAATTTTCTGCGTCAGTTTCTTGATGCCTAAGTAAAATTGTATTTATTAGATAAACTTAAAATTTTTTTCCCAATTCACCCTCTTGCGACTTTTGGCATGCTTAAAATCTTTAGTTAATATAGTCTGTTAGTCGACGAATCGCTTTCGAAAATGGTAATAAAAATGTATTTGTTGGCAAGATAGTTTACACTTAGGTGGATCCTAAAAAGAACCGATAAAATTGATGTTTAAGAAGGGAACGTAAATACCTATAATGTCCCTAAAAAGTGCCAGTGGTGAAACTTCCGGTCTATTCTTTATTATTATTCCTGATGGTGAAGAGCTGGCTACGGGTTGCTTGATTTTTACCCTAGGGGTCTCGATGTACAGAGACTGTGATGGAGGGAGGTACGCTGCTGACCAAAGAATATTTCGTCTCGGGTCGTTCCCCGGATAACTGACCGCTTTTCGTCAGACGGGAACATGTGGGTAAGCACGTTGGGGACGCGACGACCAAGAAGGAAGCCGTTGGGGCTGCCCGTGCCCCTCAGAGCTGTTTCCCCTTGCTTACATTTGTAGCCAAAAATTCTCTAACTGCACCAAGCGGGATGGTGGGACTGCCACACAACTCTGAAGAGTTAGTGCAGATTGTGCTCTGGCTAGGTATGTCTCCTGGTATTATGCCAGAGACGTCATCGGTTGGAATGAATTAATTTTTTTTTATCGCACTCGTTGAGATTCAGGGTGAATGGACACCTAGGTCCCTTTCCCCTTAGAGAAGGGTGTCGTCCGTAGACGGGATACCCAGCTGCAAGACTATCATTCGCATTCTCTATAAAGCTCGTTGAACTGCCGAAGCTTGACTACATCACTATCGAGACGCTCTGGCGTATTATTACCACACTAATTCAATTCTGTTGCAGGTTACCTCGATTTTATGTCGACGCCACCTAGCGGATTTTACTAAACTAAAGTGAAAAGCTGGCGTATTTTTGCAAAACTTTGAGCTCATTTATTGCTATTGTTTTTTAATTTTTTAAGATAAAAACTACACTTAAACCATCTAGAAAGTGGAAGGAACCATCAAATCATGATAATAAATCAGTGTGCAAAATTTTAGCAAAAGCGATTCAGTTGTTTTCGTGGTTAGCGTTTACAACGGTTTTAGCAACTTTGCTTTATATATTCGTAAGATTTGTCCTAAATATATGTGTGTATGTGTGTGTTTGCACTCGGGTGAGTGTGTGTGAGTGTTGGTTTGTGGTGTATGGGCACGCGTGTATGCTTTGGCATGGATGTGTATGTGTGTATCTACAGGCATTATTAGTACAATTAATGTTAGATACAGCTCTATTGCCACATATATAATACAGCTTGGCTTCTGTTAACGGTCCTAAGACCCCTTGCGCTTGGTTTTTTTTACAAAAGACTATGTGCAGATGTATATAAAACTTGAGATCAGTTAACTGATCTTTAAATTCCTTTTTATAGTTGTATTTTAGACTGAGTCTTTAAAAAAATACAGTTGAAACATTAATAAACCTAACCCATATATTTCTTGCACTTATCATAATTCGATAACTTTCAAGCATGAATACATTTTATTTGCTCCACACATTAATTAAAAAAAAACGTTGTTGACAATATATTAGGAAAAACATACTGACTGAAAAATTTTTTAATTCCACTTGGAAATATAATATGCTCATATTGTATACCTCCATAGTCTAATTTTATCATAAGACTAATACTGAACTGAATTGACAAACTCGCTTGTTCCTGATTCACGCCAAATAAAAAGAGTAACGGCTACTTGGCTGTAAACACCCTTGACTAACCTGATTATCTGTTGTGATCGGTACACTTATTCATAGCATATATTACGTTGATTGGAGCCGCTGGTACTGCGATAAAAAGTATAGTAATTTTTTATAGTGTACCCTTGATCGAAAAAAGTTAAAAAAATATAGTTATATTTTGTGGAGGTGCACTTTTAGCCATCACGTATCAAACAGATAAGTTGTATAGAATGCAAAGTAAAAGTTGAAATTATCGTAAGATTACTGTTAAAACTATAAGTACCGAGAATAATGATAAAATTACTTTTAAGGAAAATCGGCATCGCATTTTGAGACATGTAAGTTTTAAAAATTTGAATGTTTTATGTAAAAAAAAAAATTAGTAAAAGGTCTGCCAAAATAAATTGAAAGTGATTATGCAAAATATGCTATTTGTATGTAAAATAAAACGCACAATTTACCATTCAAAAATAATAGGCAAAAAAAATTTGACGTGACAAACTCGCCTGTTCTTGATTCACACCAAATAATATGAGTAACGGCTACTTGGCTGTAAACACCCTTGACTAACCTGATAAGCTGTTGTGATCGGTACACTTATTCAGAGCATATATTACGTCGATTGAAGCTGCTGGTACTGCGATAAAAAGTATAGGAATTTTTTGCAGTGTGCCCTTGATCGAAAAAAGTTAGAAAAATATAGTTATATTTTGTGAATTCCTTCGTTAACAAACATTTAATTTAATATTATAGCGAATCATTTTGTGAGATGTAGTTCTGCAATTGTATTTAGAGAAATAAAAGAAGATATTTAAAGAAATAAACCAATAGTAAAGAGCAAATAAAGACCGTAAAAGTAATTATTCGTAGATTATGTAAGTTTTAAAATAAGTAAAAAGTAAAAAGTTGTTACCATCGCATATAAGTAACCTATTTAAAAAACACTAAAAACGATAAACAGTATTAAATATGTAAGTACATTACTCCACTTTTATTGAAAACTAACCATAATAAATACTTATTAAAAATCATTTTTGTTGTATATATAATAAATTAAAATTAAATTGTAAAAAATCACAAATCTCAAGACCGTTAGTTTATAAAACATGTACGATTGGTTAAAAAGGTTTTTTACTTTATCCAATTTTGGTATAGAACTCCAATCTTAAAAAGATCTACCCATTTGTACTTTAACATGTATAATACTTAAATTTTTTTTCAGAATTACAAATGGCTTTTGATGCATTCGATCACCAAAAAAAGGGTATTGTTAGTACAGACATGATTGGCACTATGTTAAATATGTTAGGACATGAAATAAGGAGCAGTGTGCTATCAGAAGTAGTTGCTGAGTTTGATCCTCATGGTGAGTTCAGATTATTTATGCATTTTATTGTAAAAAAATCATGCTCAATTTCCGAAAAATTTGCGTGTACTCCGACGTATTTAGGAGTAAAGCAAGCTATTATCTCTATATTATTTGGATGCGCAGACCATATTGCGCACGTTTTTCGATACGTTCAACTTTGGAGACTAAATATAGTAGTATACTAGCTAAGTATAGTACTATATATATAGCATATGAAAATGTGTACCTACGTATACTCGGTTTTGTTCTTTAGTTACTGTAATACTTATCTATATTTTAACATATAATCAATACTTCTTCGTAACTAAGGAGTTAGTTATGGGAATCGGTATTAAAAAAGTTTGTATTTATTTCTTTAAAAACATTATAGTTCTGAATTTCACTATATCCTAATATAACACTACAAAATTTACTGAAAACCATTTAAGTGTATAGCTTATAAGACAAATAAATATTAAATAATATTATGTCATTTCTTAATTTTTTAAATGGATTTCTTACTAAATTACTTGCTACTTAAATCAATCTAGTTAACTTATTAAATTTTCAAGTACACACAACAGACAAAGACAATGACTACTACGGAAAATTTGCTTATAATTAGAGTCATTCGAGAAGTCATTATTTATCGATATCAGATGAATCTCAGAATTATGAAACTCAGTGAATAAATCTGTATAAAGCTTATCAATCTTCATATAATTAGACCATTTATTACTAAATGCTGTTTGGTGATTGATTGTCACTTTTTTTTGTAAGGAAATGTTTAAAAATGGAACTATGAAGTAATACAACATTCTCAGCAGTCTTTTGATTGAACTTGTCTTTGAGCTCTTCATTATCAATCAAATAAAAAAAGTTTATGATTACTTCGATACTTGACTTAGTAAATGCATTCTGATGTATTTATCAACCAACAGTAATATTATCAAGTAATTTTTTAATTTTAGTAGTATTAAAATATTTAGAGCCTTCGATAGTAAATATCAAAAATTTTTTTTTTTATTCGCCAAAGAATTTTTAATGTAACCTTCAGCAACAGAATCTGACTTTTAGCTGCCAGGTGACTTGACTGCAACCAAATTAGCACATGAATTTAAAGTAACGTTGCAGCTGTTCTGTAAAATGCATACCCAGCATACTTTTCTAGGTCTTCCAGATTAAGATTTAATGTTACAGTTTTTGGCCTCCCCCCCATCTTGTTTTTGCCAGTGTTATAATTGAAGCACTTTTGATTGCGATAAGAAACAGAAAATACTAATGTGTACATATGAATTGGTCTCCATTAAGCATATTGATGGACTCTTTGATAAAATTCTATTTTAATCAAAAATATCTCAAGCATCAGGTCTTCGAATATTCAAGTATCACATTCAAAATTTTTTCAGTTTCTTTGTTATTGGCTAAATCAAGTTTACAATACTCCTGACATTTGAGAGCACCACTGAGTCTAAAAATCAGTATAAGCTAAATTAAGTAATATTTATACATTTAAGTCAAACAGGTGAATACACCTAATGAGAATGTATAATTAAAAAACATCTTAAGCACCCCTATGGCAGGATAGATTTAAATATCACCGCTATTTAAAAATTTTATAACTTGAGCCAAAGTAGCAACTCTCCAGTTTTTGGGCCTAAATGCTTTTGAAAAGTTTTTTCTTAAATATTTCAAGCTTTGAAAAGTCATTTAAACTAGTGTTCTCTCGTTATCTTAGAGTTGTCTTGAGCATAGATCATCTACTACACAAAGATTATGGTTTGAATTTACTAGACAATTCATGGAAATAAACAAGAAATATTTTTTTTTCAGTATATGAATGAATACCTTATTTATAGCATCAATCCATAAAAGACATTATACACAAGCTCATATTTCTCACTTGACTTTAAGGCCGCAGTCACATAGAGCGTAATAGAGCGAACAGGGTAAAAGTTCCTCCATAAGCGACTGTGTTAAGTCTATTGCGCTGCAGGATAGCCCTATTGCACGTTCTATCAATAGACTTAACACAGCCGCTTATGGGGACAATTCTATCCTGCTCGCTCTATTGCGCTCCATGTGACTGCAGCGTAAAGGTAGCAAGGTGTTGATGGTCTGCTGCCTTTACTCTTCAAAATCTTTTACTAATGCTTTCTCCTTGTTACTATCATAATCAGAGTCCAAATCATACAAGTTATTAGATAATATTTTGAGCACTTAAGCAGGCTTAATAATATAGGTCTTCAAGAAAAAGATACAATAGTAACGGCCATTTTGGTCTAACTAGTGACATATACTGTGTACAGCTCTCTTTAAAAGATCACTATTTCAGCAGACGAACCCATGACTCTGCTCTCGGTTTATTTATAGTATCATTACCATACAATGCTTGTTTTATTTCAGTATGTAAATACTGATTTTTTTCTCTGCCTTCGAACTTTGGAGTCTAAAAGTTATAGTTAGTATATGAAGTTTGTTCAAAAATTAAGCTTTTGTATCTTCAATACTACATTTAGTATAAAAATATCTGTGTTGCAAACAGCTCGTTGTTATTCGAAAAGTTCAATATTAATAATAAAAAAGCTACTTCGTACGAACTGCATAATTTTTATTCTTTATTCCATTGTCTCATCAAATTTTTTTGCAAAACTATGTCATTTTGTCTTATTAGTATGTATTTATAAATATTACTATTTTACGATGCTTTTGTAATCCATTTTATATATGGCACGTTTTTTTATACTGATAATGAATAAATAACATTAAAATTAAAATACTAAAATCCTTTTAGAATGACAGGCAACTACAGTTTTCATGACTTATCGATAGTATATAGTTATATAGTTATATCGATGAAGTAGGGAGCTCAGTATAACTGTATAAAAAAAAGTATAACTATGTACCAGCTGTGATTAAATTTTTGTTGAGAGTTTCATTGTAAATGCGAGAGAGAGCGGACGTGTCGAGCGAGTTCTCCAGAAAATAGAATATTAAAAAAGTATAAAAACAAAAATAAAAGAAAATAAAAGTGAGAATAAGTTGAGAAAGTGGTGAAATAGCATAGAAGAAAGTGTAAAGTGAACAAATATATATATGTCAGTGGAAAGGAGACACGTGAAAGCCAAAGAGTAGTGAGTAGAGAAGAAGGTAGATAATAAAAGAAGATGATAGTGAGCGGAAAAACGAGTGACAAGCCCGATTAGAAATGAATCCACGCGGCGTGTACGGCCCCCTCACGGTACCGGAGGCCCCGTGTACGGTCCAACTAGCGGGCCATGTACGGCCTGTTTACCGCGTGTGATCAGGTACGTGTATGGACAGTACACGGCTGCCGTATGTTACGGCTCCCATGGACTGCCCGTGTACTACCCGTGAAGCTGTGTACTGAAAATGACTAGCAGACAGAGTAAATTGCATGCATTATTGTTTTTTCTTTTAATCATTTAAAGTAATCTTCCAAAGTAAGCTATCTTTAAATTGTCACTAGCATCACTTAGATCAAAGTTTTCAACTTAGTATTTTTTAATCAGATTTTCTTTGAAAAACGTTTTGTGTGATAATGGTAAAGTATTGTCAATTAATTTAAATTTTTTTAATAAATAATCAATATGACCGTTTGAAGGCTTACAATCTTTCGCATAATCTTTTAAAATTTGTGCAATCGATTGCTTGCATTCCAAATTAATTTTCATGCCACTTTCAACATCAGATTCACTTTCACTGCTACATGTCTCAAACCTATATTAATGATCATAATCTTTTTCACTAGCACTTTCATTATCACCATCTATTACTTGTATGCATTTACTTTGTTCATTTTCAATGATTTGTTTATCTTCTAAGTTACATTTAATATTATCCTCCATCACATGAATTTTATTAGTTAAAACCGTTTCACTATTTTCATTATCATTATCATTACCTTGTTTCTTTATTTCTTTTTCTAACACATCCCATGTGTAATAAATGTCTATCCATACGTTCATTTATTCTATCATCCATTGTAGATTTTTTAAAAATGCACTTTTTTTAATGACTAATTTTACCTATGGTATTGTGATAAAGACACTTAATATCAAGAAACGTTTTAAAATGGATAAAAAAGCGTTTGTTAGTTTTAATTCAAAGTTATAATATTGATACAAATACTCACGTACATATGATAACGGAAAGATATTAAAATTAAATTCTATTATTCAAATAACACTTTTTGCTCTGCTATCTTATAGATTGGTCGTGCCTTATTTGCAAGACATAGTGCTTAGCATAAATTTAACCGCTTATTTTTGCTCACCTTCATAGCTATATATATTGTATGGACCACTTACGGTCAGGGTACGGGCAGTACACGGAAGCCATGAGTGACGGGTGCCGTGTACTGTCCGTACACGTACCTGATCACACGCGTTACATGGGCCAGGAGTATTATGTCCGGCGTACCGTCTGCGGCCCGTATGGTAGTCTCCGGCGGGCCATAGACTTTTTCTAATCGGGAAGAGTACAGAAAGACAGTATTAAAGTAATGGTGGTGAGATGAGAAACAGTAAAAAGAGCAGTGAAGTGCGAGAGATAAGTGAGGTTAGTAAAGTATAGGAAAGAGGAAGCAGCAACTTGAGAAAGAGGTCAATAAAAAGGGGCAAGCTGAGAGATAGATAGAAAAGGTCCCTGGTCAAATAAAATAGCGGTAAATAAAGGAGGAAAAAGGTTAACAAAGATAGTGGTCGATAAGGAAGATTTCTTGACGACTGACACTAGATATAAGGATAGATCCATAAAAAGAATAATAAGAAAGATTCCTACATTACTGATTAAGGCCGTTAAAGAAGATTTCTGATGGATCCACGCGGAAAAGCCGGTCTAGAAGAAAACTGTGGTGGTATCGACACGAATCTGAAAATGACCGGAAAAGTGACGGGTGTAAATGTAAGCGAAAACAGTAATGCAAATGTGAAACCAAAGGAGCAGTCCTTATTAAACTTCACAAAAGAAAGTCAAGAGAATAAAGATTAAAACGA